GCGCGGAGGGCAGCATGGCGGCGGGCGCGCGGCGGGGCCTGCCCGTGGCTGGCGGAGGCGAGAGCAGCGACAGCGAGGACGATGGCTGGGAGATTGGGTATCTGGACCAGGCGTGTCAGGTAGCGGAGGAGGCCTTGCTTGGCTGCGCCTGGTGTCCGCCGCGGGGGCCCTGAAGGCCAGGCCCGCCCGGGCCCTCTGGCTCCCCTCCCCCTCCCGGGTTTCCTCGACCTGCCCGGCGTTTCGAAGTCAGGCAGGCCCTCGTGTTTCCCTTTCGTTTTTCCCAGATTTAGTGGGTGCGCTTCGCTTGGGTTGCAGATGCAACTCTTCACACAGGACTTGTCATTACCCAGTCCCTTTAAAAATAATTTTTGTACCTGTATTAATCACACGCTCACTGTTCTTGTTGGCCCCAACAAACCAGTGTAGGTAACCAAACGTTGTTCCCTGATGTAGTGGAAATAAAAATAATATGTATAACCTGTGGTTTTTTTTTTTTTTTAACTTTCTGATTTTAAGAAATTAAAAAGGCCATTACCCACTGAAGAAAAGAGTGAAATATTTAAGAAGGCATTGACTACCGGAAATACTGCCTTAATAGAGGAGCTTCTAGATTCTGGTGAGAGTTCAAGGATAGGGTCCACTGAAAACAGTTAAGATTTAAGTCCGTAAGCGTTCCACTTTATTTTTCTTTCTTAAAATTTGTATTAGTACACATTTGCAGTACACAGTAATTATTCATTGTAGGAAGCTGTTACATAACACATTTTCCTTTTTTAAAAATTTCCTTTGTCCCTCCCTTCTCCTTATTTTAAAAACCTCGTGTGGCTTTTATTGTGTACAAACACAATAAACGTTAATTTTCTAGTTGCCGTATATCAGTTTGTTGAGTCTAAATTATCTGTTCCTTATTTTCTATGTGTCTGTCCTGACATTGGGAACACCACCCTAAATAACCACCTCCAATTCTTACAGCCTTTTTCAAAGGGCCTGTTCTTCCCCAGCTCCATCCAGGTCATTCTTGTTGAGCATTGATGATGTATGACTCTCAAGAATTGTTTGTAGTTACGTAGATGGTAGGTTTCTCCTATTTTTTATTTAAGAAACAGCATGTAAACACGTCATATGTGTATTTTATCTAAAGTGCAATGCAATAACTGCTCTGATCATGTTTCTTGGACTATAGCAAGCTTTCTTAAAGTCCCTATATAACTTTTTTCTATTTTTTGAGGCTATTATTACAAGAAATTCTCTTGTAGAATAAACTGTGTTGTGTATGTTAGTATTTTCCAAGCTAAAATGAAAGTAATGTTTTGCTTTTGATGGAGAGGTTTTTAAAAAGGTTTTTATGTTGACAGGTATTAACGTAGATTCTAGCTTTCGTTATGGATGGACTCCTCTTATGTATGCTGCTAGCGTTGCCAATGCAGAGCTGGTTCGGGTTCTTTTAGACAGAGGTGCTAATGCAAGCTTTAATAAAGGTAAGATGTTTGAGAAAATGGAGCTGCTCAGGTTTATGGTGATTTTTCTTTCCCAAGCAGCAGTTATGTAAAATGAAAAAAATTACAGCAACTTGAGAACAATCTGTTAGTTGTAGTACATGAACAATACACAAAATTCAGCTGTAAACCTAAGTATTTTAAAATTGTGAGTAGAAAAGTTCAAGATGTTATCTTTATAACATTGTTATTCTACACTTTTAACTTCTGGGCTTGAGGGTGTTGGTTAATTTATTACTATTTTTTTCTTTTTTTGTATTTTAAGGAAGGGTCTGTAGGGTGCACAGGGTATCACTGCATAGATCAGACTTGTAATGAGTCTCCTGTTTACAGTCTCCCAAGTGCTGGCGTTACAGGCTCACAACACCATGCCCAGTCTCAATCGCCGCCTCAGTGTGCCCCGGGAACAGGCCCAGGACAGCAGGCCCAGGATCGAATCCCCAGCCTCTGCGCCTGTTTGTAGGCTCTTTAATTCCACTTAGCTATTTGGCCGGCCCTTGGTTAATTTTAAAATACATTCAAAGAAACATAAAGCTGATAATTTGATGGAAAATTGCTTGACGATCAGTTTCTAGAATTGTAAAATCAACTGTATATCGCTTAAAATTGTTTCAAAGAGGATTTAATCTAACTTCCGATAATTTTTACTCAGTAGTGCTTTGAATGCTTTTGAGAACAACACTGTATGTAAATGCAGTATGATTTTTTTGTTTGTTTGCAAATAAGTGCCTTTTTATACTGAGCTATATCCCTGGCCATTTTTACTTTTTATTTTGAGAGCGGGTCTTGTGTGATTGCCCAAACTGGGCTCAAACTCAGAATCCTCCTGCCTCAGCTATCCAGAGTGCTGAGATAACAGGCATGCACCATCACGTTTTATTTTTAACATATTTTTCATAAGTAGATGAACATCCTTCACAGTTTAGTAGATTGTATTTTAGTATTTTCACAATTTAAATTGTTTTATATTATTTTCTTTTGATAAATTTTATAAAAATTCTTTACAGATTTATCTTTTTATTGTGTTACTTAAAAATACTACTCATGGGGCCAGGGAAATAGCTAATAGAATAAGCAGTTGCCTGGCAAGCACAAGGGCCTGAGTTCAATCTCAAGTTCCATAAAAAAAAAAGAAAAAGAAAAAAATGGAGGCTACACTTAAGAGTAAGGTTTACACAAAGTATATAAAGTATTCTATTTAAAAAATTTTCTTTTTCTGGGGCCAGCCAGATAGCTCAGTGGATTAAAGTGCCTGCTTAAGCAGACACAGGGCCAGGGGTTTGATCCCTGGCATGCCTTGCCAGCCCCACCTGCAGGGCTTGCTGAGACAGCCACTGAGACTGGGTATGGAGGATCACTAGGAGTCCAGTCTGTGTAGTGAGACCTTGTAGATCCTGTACTAAATACATAAAAAAATTTTTCTGCTCTCTTTATAATATATACAGTTATAAAACACTTTATATTTCTCATAGAATGTATATATAAAGAGCCCTGTTATTATTTTTTCTTTTTGTATTTCAGTGAAGGGTCTGTAGGGTGTTCAGAGGCTCAATACTAGATGAGATTCGTAGTGATCCACCTGTTTACAGCCTCCCAAGAACTGGGATTACAGGCACGCACCACCACGTCCAGTCCCATTTGCCACCTCAGTGCGCCCCGGGGTTGGGGCCCGCACGGTAGGCCAAGGGATTGAATCCCCAGCTCCTGTGCCAGCTTGCAGGCACTTTAATCTGCTGAGCTATTTGGCCAGCCCTGCCCTGTTTAAATTAAATCTAATAGTCTTTATATTAGATCTGGTATAAAAAGACATCACTAGTATTACACTTTATCAGAGACAGAACTAGGACTAGAATCTTTATGCTGTGTTAGTACTGAGCTGCTAATGTAAAGTATGGCTATAGTGACCTATATTGAATTTCTTAATTCTCTTCTTAAATGAAGTGGGTTTATTGGTTTTTAATCTACCTTGATGTCCATGGGCGCTAAGAGAGGAGTTTTAGGAATTCACTGAGTTCTGTGAGATCAAGTACAAAAGAACTGAAAAAGGACAACGAATGTGGCAGTTGTAGCAGTTTTTAAGGGCAATTTGTAAACCAAGATTTCAAGAATTATCAAATGGATGAAAAAGTAGTGAAGGGCCAGGGAGCTAGCTCAGTGGCATAATCACCTGCCTGGCAAGGCAAGGTCCTGAGTTCAATCAGTACCGGGAAAAAAAGTCAACACTCCAAATTTTATGGAAAATCCACTACTATTATCGACTACTAGACTACATAGGAATATTATGCTGAATTCATGTACCTACAATATTTGAGTGACGGTGAAATACCCCTATCTGACAAAACTAAAGAAAAAAAGGAGATACAAATGAAGGACCATTTTATGTCTGTATATACAAAATAGGATAGATAAACCACTACTTTCTCTTAATCCAGTGAATTTGTTCTAATGGTGTTTGTGGACAGGATGTCATGTCTGCATCTTGTACTATGAATAACCACTAAGAAGACAACAATATGCAATGTATTAATTATTGAAACTATCCTACTGGATTTTGAAACTGTCTCATTGCTATTTGTTTCTCAATAAAATTATTAAAAAATAAAAGAATAAAGAAAAAGTAGTGAAACCAGATGTCTTAGTTACTTTTTTACTTGTTGCTGGAACAAATACCTGACACTCAAAATGAAGGAAGGAAAGGTTTATTTGCTAGAGTGTTCAGTCCATGTTCCGCTGGCTCCAAGGCAAATAACAGCAGTTCATGGCAGCAGAAAACAGTTAAAAGAGCAGGGGAGAAGCAGCAGCTGGGGTGTCCATCGAGCCTCTCTCTCCCTTCTGCACTGACTGCGAAGACCAGCACTCCACAGAGAAGATTTTAGCTCATCCAAAGTGGCGCAGCTGAGCAGATCAAGCTATTCTGAAGACGGACTTCACAGAAGTGGGGCAGGGCTGGGCCCCCACGCCCAAAACTGCTAGAGCTTATTCAGCCAAGTTGACACAATGTATCAACTAACACACCAGAAAATATAGATTATTATTTTCTAATAATGAGTACAACAAGGCAAACTTTAATAAGCCAATAATAATTGCTATCTGAACAGTGTAACTATACAGTCCATGTGCTTAACCATTTTCCATTCTCTTGAAATGAGAATATGGGAAGGAATTTAAGATATGAGTTATATATATATTTTGGAGATGAAAGGGTTTTATATCTGATCTCGTGCTTTGGTGAGTTATCTGCTAAGAGTGAAAGATCTAGAAAGAAATGGTAAAATTTTATTTTTCTTTTACTTTAAATTTTTTAAGAATTTTTTTCATGTATTTGGTACAGGATGTCACTATGTATCTTGAACTCATAGTGATCCTCCTGTTTTCAGCCTCCCCAGTGCTCAGATTACAGGTGTGAGCCACCACACCCAGTTTCATTGGCTGGGATTGAACCCCAGTCCCTGAGCTGGCCTAAGATGTAGATACTGAGCTATCTCACCAGCCCATAAGATGTAGAATTTTAAAGTGCAGTATTAGAATATTTTGTATGATAAAGAAGTAAATTTAGATATACTTCCTAACATGGAAATTTTTCCTTTTCTATTTGCTAAAGATAAACAGACTATTTTGATAAGTGCATGTTCTGCCCGTGGCTCAGAGGAACAAATCTTGAAGTGCGTAGATCTGTTACTTTCAAGAAATGCTGATCCAAATGTTGCTTGTAGGTAAGAAGCTTATTGTTTGTGCAAAAGTGTTAAACATATTTTTATTTTATTATCATCCTAAAATTTGATAGCACAAATTTTTTAAAATTTCAACAGTGTCTGTTTACTTGGTCAAATAGTTATTGAATGAAAATGGGGTCCTATGGTCATGATTCTAGTTGTGTAAGATTATCAAAAAGAGGTGAATCCATGAAATTAATCATTCTCTTTTTATTTAAAGACTAAAAAATGGTAATAAGAAAACAACATTAGAAATGATACAAAATTTCACTAAGCAAAGTAATAGAAATTCAACATTGGTTCCTGTATTGCATGATGTTATCTTCAAAGTAGTTGTTTAGATTACCAGATATAAACCTGCAAAATTGGCTTTTGAAAAATTATAAAAAATTAAAAAGAAAAAAATAACTATTAAGTTTTAGAACTATTATAAGAATTTGGATTGAGAAGCAAAAGAGAATAGTAAACTCATTTCTTCTGAATTACACACTCAAAAATATAGAGCTATGTGAATAAAGCTCTAAGTATTTCTCTGTATAATAATAATTTTTGCATAAATACTAAGAAAATATATCAAAACATTTCAGTGTTCTTAGGTTTCTACCAGTTAGTTAACGACATATGTAATAGTGTTTACATACACAGTATGTGTTTACATACACAGTAATAGTGTTTACATGCACAGTAATAGTTACATACGCAGTAATAGTTACATACACAGTAATAGCGTTTACATACACAGTGTATACATAGTGTTTACGTACACACAGTAATAGTGTTTACACACAGGAGAAAAAATATATTTTGCATCTGTTAAAATGTCAGTTATATAATGAATGTAATTGCTTAAAAAATATTGTCTCATTGACATCTTCTCTGGGTCCATCTTTCATTCCATCTTCCTATTAAGTCACTCACTATGTTTTACTTCAGAATGAAGAGTGGAATTGAGCTCATCCAGTGGGGAAATATCCAGCATAAGTAGAATCTTTACAATAAATCATTAGTTCACTTAATGATGACATACTACCTGGTATTAGAAATAATTATTCATTACTTTGGAAGCTTCCCTCTTAAAATTTAGTTTAGTTTATATGGTATGTGGACAGCAGCCTTGAAACACAATATATAATTGAGATAGGTTCCAGATATTTGCTGAGATAAAAAAAAAAATTCATTCAGGTATCAAGCACGGTTTAGGTTTGTTTTGTTTTCTTTTGTTTCCTAGTGGATATTTGGCAATGTCTGGAGACATTTTTGCTGATTTCACATGAAAAAGTTTGCTAACATTTGGTGAGTGGCGCCAATGATAGTGCTAACTATTCTAAGTGTACAGAACAGCTCTCTTCCATCTAGTGTGAGAAAGGCCATGTCTTATCAATTAGATAATGAGTATTTAACAAATAAAGATTTAAAAGAACTGGTAAGGAAACTGTCTGCAAAGTTACCATGTTAATTCACAGGAACTTTTATCCTTTATCATCTCCATTTGGTATAACATTTATTTCACTTTATTTTTTTAATTTCATTGAAAAATAGCAATGAGACATTTTAAAAACTGATTAGTAGGACAGTTTCAATAATTAATACATTTCATATTGTTGTCTTCATAGTGGTTATTCATAGTAGATGATGCAGACATGATATCTTGTCCAAACACTAGTAGTATAAATCTTTCTTCTCGTTCAATTAAGAGAAAGTAACTATATTTATCTTAACTATTTTGTATATACAGACACAAAATGGTCCTTCATTTGTATGCCCTTTTTTGGTTTAGTTTTGTCAGAGATGGGTATTTCCTTCCCATTTAAATGTTGTAGGTGTGTGAATTTAGCGAAATAATCCAATACACTCCAGTATTCCATAATAGTAATGGGTTATCTGTAGCACTGGCAATGTCAGAAGTTGTTGACATGCGCTTTTTACAGCTCAGCATGTTAATATGGCTTTACGTTTTATACTTTTCTCCTGGATGGTTAAGACCAAGATGAAGCAACAAAAAATGTAACTTTTGCATTTGACAAGGTCAGTCAAATCCCCTCAGGATTTACCCTGAAAACCTGTACCACAGTTTGTAGATCTTTTGTCAGTGTCAGCCATGTGTATGAGTTATGGCCATTGCTTGACCAAATTTGCTCTCTGAGAGAATGTTTTCTGTCCTTGTAACTCTTCTTAGGCACACTATATCATCAATCACTTTTCTGTGTGGCCCCATAGTCTCCTTGATCAGAAAATTTGGGACACAACGGAGTTACAGGATGTTATAATGCAGGTTCTCCTGTGTCCTGAGTCCTCACTGACCTTGAAAGGCTAGGACCAAAATGTTTGCTGTCCTTGCAGTCTTTCTTTTTCTCTAATTTTTGGTCTGCAGATTTAAGTTGTTAACCCACCAGAAGAGAAGCTTAATGATATTAGTACCTTATATCTGTCTGAGTATCAAACATCTTAGACATAGTGTGCAACAAGTATTTTCCATCAAGTATTGATATGCTAAACTTTAAATCCCTACAGAATCTGAAGGAAAGAATTAAATTTTTTTTAAATAAACAGTAACATTTTTACACAGAAATTTAGAAACTAAGCATATACAGCATTGTACCACGACAGTAGTATGACATTCTAATCTCTTTTTTCATTTATTACCCTTTTTTTAAACAGACAACATTTACTTAAGAGGCAGTATGGCAATAATTGGTATATAATGACAAGAAGTACATATTTAGAAGACCAGAATGACAGGCTTTCCAAGCATGACCCTAGTATTACACATCGCTATTTTCAATGCAGTTGCTTAGTTCACACGTGTCAGCATATATAGTTATTTAGGGTGAGAATCCTACCAGTTAACTGCTAGTTTCAAAAACCTGCTGAAGATTCTTAGGATCATTGCCTTATCCTTCCTATGCATATAAATGTATGGCTTTGCCCCTGTCATGTTTCCTGGCTTTTCTCCTTGTCCTCTCTTCATTGTCTAATCCTCAAGTTCTCGCTTTCCTTTTATATGTGTTATACCTATTTGTATTTCTTCTTTTGAGTTCTTATACTAGGAGACTATATGATGTTTACACATGTGGGTCTGGTTTATTTCACTTATGAGTGTATCTTCATCTGGCATCCACTTAAATATAAAGACAGAGTTTATCGTTATTTATAGCTGAGTAATACTCCATTGTGTGAAAATACCACATCTTTTTCGTCCATTCCTCAGGTAACTGGCATCTTGGTTGTTTCCAAGGTTTGGCTATCACAAATTGTGCTGCTGTAAACATAGGTTACATATATCATTGTGGTAAGACATTCCTCTGGGAAAATTCCTAGTAGAGGAATAGCTGGCTTGAATGGGATTTCCAGTCCTAGTGTTTTAAGGAGTCTCCACACTGATTTCCATAATGGTTGCACCAGTCTACATTCACACCAGCAGTGAAGAAGGGTTCTTTATTCCCCATAGCTTCTCCAACATCTGTTGTTGGTTGATTTGTTTATGATAACCATTCTTTCTAGTGTGAGATGGTATTTTAGTGTTCGTTTAATTTGCATTTTATGGATGACTAGTAATGTGAAGCATTTATCATATATTTGTTTCCATAATTTCGTCTTCTGAGAAGTGTATGTTCATCTTGGATGCTCATTTCTGGATTGGGTCTTTCAATTTGGGGGCCCTCTTGGTTTTTAGTTTTTTATAAATTCTAGAGATCAGATCTTTGTCTGAGTGCTTATTAGTTAAGATTTTTTCCAAATTTGTGGGTTATAAAACTTCTCAATGAGATGAGGTCCCAGTTGTTAATTCCTTTAACTATTACCCATGTGATTTGATTTTTGTTCATGAACTCTTTGCCTTCCCATATGTCTTCAAGAGTTCTTCCTATTTTCTCTTCCAGGAGACATACAGTTTCTGTTTTAATGTTTAAATCTTTAATCTTTACTGCATGGTGATAGACCTAGGTCTAGTTTTTGTTTTTGGCATGCAGAGAGCCAGTTTTTCCAGCACCATTTGTTAAAGGGGCTATCTTTCTTCCACGAAGCATGCTTGGCCCCTATGTCAAAGATCAAGTGGCTCAGTGTGTTTGTAAATGCTTCTGCATCTTCTAAGCTATTCCATTAATCCTCAGGTCTGTTTTGTTGGCCAGTACCATGCTGATTTTTTACCACAGTACCTTTGTGGTATAATTTCAAGTCAGGAATTGTAATGCCTCCTCTGTTGTCTTTATTGCCTAGAATTGGCTTTGCTATTCTAGGTCTTTTCTGGTTCCCAATAAATTTTAGGAACATTTTCTGTAGATCTGTGATGTATGTTGGTGATAGTTTGATAGGGATTACATTAAATCTGTACAGCAATTTTGGGAGTATGGCCATCTTCACAATGTTGGTTCTTCCTATCCGGGGGCAGTGAATATATTTCCATTTTTTTAAATCCTCTGTGATCACTTTTTTCAGAGTACTGTAATTTTCACAGAATAGATGTTTGGTTAGATTAATTCATAGGTATTTCATTTTCCATGGTGCTGTTTAAAAGGTATTGTGTCTCTAATTTCTCTCAGTGTGTTTGAATGGTATTGACTTTCGTGTTTTGACTTTGTATACTGCTGTGCTACTGAATTTGTTTTGTTTTTTTTTTTTAAAGGCATCTCAGGCTTTTTTTTTTTAATTTATTTATTTTGTGTCTGTGTGTGGCCAGCTCAGCCCACCAGGGGGCGGGGCTGGCTGGCATGTGGTGCTGGGGGATTGAACCGCGGTCCCTGTGCTTTGCTTAGCTTAGCTTGTTCTAAGTAGGTGCTTTAGACCACTGAGCCATCTCACCAGCCCCTGAATTTGTGTATTAATTCTAATAGCTTCTTGGTGAAGTTTTTTGGGTCTTCCAAGTAAAGTATCATGTCATCTGCAAATAATGATAGTTTAATGTCTTATTTACCTGTTCTTATTCCTTTTATTTCTATCTCTTGTCTAATGGCTCTAGCTAATGATTCCAGAACTATATTAAATAGGAGGGGTGATAGAGGACA